ATGGAATAGCAGACACGCAACAGCATCAACGCCCAAAGCCGCGACTAAGACACAGAGATGGATGACTTGGACTGGAACAAAGCTAGTCAATTTGCAGTTGGATGCCGCGACGTTTCAACTTGTGTAAGAATCATCGGCAAGCCTCAGGGCCGTTGGAGGTGGTGAGTGGAATGCCGCTGGGAATTAGCCAAGCGCCTCATCCGCCACTCCCGTCCGAGCCATGAATTTGAAGGAAGATTGGACGAGTTTTGAGATGCACGTCTGGCATCTGGGTGGCATTGGCACAGGCACAGGTCATCAAGTGCCGTGAGTCGACGCGACGTGGGAGGAAAAAGCAAACAAGATGGGATGACAGATGCACAACGAAACGCACGACAACGCGAGAGTGAATAACAGCGAGTCAATGCAATCCATAGCGGCAGCATCAACAGCGGCAGCGTCTGTTCCCCTGCGTCAGTGGTTGCATTCACCGCCTTGGCTGATCTTCCAGCACAAGTGGAGCGGCTCCAGCGCGCGCCAGGCCCCAGCTGGGCGACTTCACATTTTCAGCCCTCGTCAACAAGCCCCGGAAAACAAACTTGGTTCTCCAGTGTTCCTTTCCGGGTTGTGTACGAGGTACCTGCCTTAGGTGTTCCAGCAGGTGGCCCAGCAGTGGTCTGGTCCCTCTTGCTCTGTCTGCAGCGGGCATTGTTCAGCGGAGGCCTGGTCCAGGTCCAGTCGCTTCACGTGATCCCCGCACGCTCCCCCCCTGAGCCGGGGACCTCCTTAATTTCGTGACGTCCAAGGCCAATACGATGGCCGTCATTGTTTTCCCCTTCCCCTTCCCCTTCCATCTTCATTCACCACGCTCCACCCTCACTCGGACTCCCGAATTTCTTCGTGTGTTTAATACCCGGCCTTGTCCCACTCGTTGTCGACACCTTCTTTGGCACCTCCTTCCCTTTGCCAGTCATTCTTTTTGGTCCTCGACAACAAACCCAACTATTCCACACTCTTTATTACTTGTTTTAGTCACAGCCAAACAGTCCCCGACCAACCACAGCATCTCCCAGCCTTAATAAACAGCCTCTGGGATTTCTCTTGCTGCCTATCCGTCTTACGATACCTCCCGACCGATACGAGAGCGATTATTCTTTCCCAGTTACACACGCATAATCACATATCATCAAAATGAAGGCCTCCGTTTCTGCCGTCGCCATCAGCGCCCTCGCGGCCACCGCTGCCGCCGAGAACTACCTTGGCTTCAACTCTGGTGCCACCAAGGCCGACCGCTCTGCCAAGTTCAAGGCCGACTTCGAGGCCGAGTTCAAGACGGCCCAGAACCTCGAGGGTGCCCCCGGCGACTTCAACGCCGTCCGTCTCTACACCAACATCCAGGCCTACTCCACCGAGGACCCCATCGAGGCCTTCGAGGCTGCCATCAACACCAACACCAAGATCCTCCTCGGTGTCTGGACCTCCGGCACCGACAACATCGACAAGGAGATCAACGCCCTCAAGACCGCCGTCACCAAGTACGGCACCAAGCTGACCGACCTCATCATCGGTGCCTCCATCGGCTCTGAGGACCTGTACCGCAACTCCGTCACCGGTGTCAAGAACAAGTCTGGTGTCGGTGCCGACCCCAAGACCATTGTCGGCTTCATCAACGACTTCAAGACCGCCTTCAAGGACACTCCTCTGTCCAAGGTCTCCATCGGCCACGTCGACACCTGGGACGTCTGGGGAAACGCCACCAACAAGCCCGTCCTCGACGCCATTGACTGGGTCGGTGTCGATGAGTACCCCTACTACGAGAACGACAAGGGCAACAGCATCGAGAACGCTGGCAAGCTCTTCGACAAGGCCTACAAGGCCACCATCGCCACCGCCGCTGGCAAGCCCGTCTGGGTTACTGAGACCGGCTGGCCCGTCACTGGTGAGACCTGGGACGAGGCTGTTCCCTCTGCTGAGAACGCCAAGACCTACTGGGACGAGATCGGCTGCCGCCAGCTCTTCGGCAAGACCCCTACCTTCTGGTACAACCTCCGTGACTCCAACCCCGACAACACCATGAAGTTCGCCATCACCAAGGACCTGTCCACCAAGCCCCTCTTCAACCTCACCTGCCCTACCACCTTCGACACCCCCACCGAGACCACCACCGGCACTGCCTCCTCCACCGCTACCATTAAGCCCGGCAACGGCACTTCTGGCTCTGGCTCTGGCTCTGGCTCTTCTGGATCCGGCGGTAACACCACCGTCTCCACTGCCTCCCCCAGCGGCACCGCCAGCTCTGGCTCTGGCTCCGGCTCTGGCAGCGGTTCCGGCTCCGGCTCCGGCTCTTCCACCACCACTGGCGCCGGCAGCTCCGCTTCCACCGTCGGCTCCGGTGCCACCACCGTCAAGGTCCTCTCCACCGGTGCCCTGGCCGTCGTTGCCGGCGCCATTGCCTTCCTCTACTAAGTGTGGGGAGTAGCAGCAGCAGCAGCCATTTCGGTGTAAAAAGTTTGAGCAGCACATGAGGGAATAGCAGCGTGTATTTTGACTCACACACTGGACATGTGTGCATTCTGGTATCATAATCGTGGATAGACTGCGGATAGACTGAAGGAAATGTGATTGATCATTCAAACCATCGTCAAAGACATCCCACATGCCTCGCGCACCAGTGACTTGATCGTAAGCTGACAACCGCCCGTATGACAATGTCTCACACCGGAGAGGCCGTGTAACATGATGAACCACCACAGCCTGGTGTGTCTAAGCTCCTGACTCGGTGAGCGCCGGCGACTCAGAGAGGGTCAGACCCAGATCTGCGTTCCCATTGGGCGGCTGGAATCCCCCAGAGTCGGAAATGAGGTGTGCTGATCTCTCCCCACTCCCAGGGCCCAAGGTCGAGTCCGGTCCAAGTTCTGGACCACTGGCGGCGGCCCGTCCATTTCGTATTGGCCCTCTTTCCTCCAAGAGCGCCGCAGGGAAACAGGGAACCCAGTGAAGACACGCCCACAAAACCGGGCGCAGGTGGTGCCCTTCTGTTTTTTTTTTCTGGTCGACTCTTCGAGGAGGCTGAGCTAATTTTAGAACGGTGTTGGTAAATCATTGGATTTTTTTGTTCGTGTTGGCGCGCCTCACCACCAACGCCGGCGCGGACAACATTGACCTCTTGGTGCGTCATTGTTTGAATTGATCCGTACCACTGTCTTTCCAATCGTCATCATCATAGTTCTATGTCCTGGTCGCGCTTCAATCTCGAAGTCATACTCCGCAGCAAGTAACGCGACGACAAGATGGCGCAATGCACTGTTTACATTTCCATGCGCTCTTTGCCCCCCCGTGTCAGGCACGCAGCGAATCACGCCGTCGTCGTACCTGGAGCTAAACCATCTTCAGAGCCAAGCGCACCCAAGGCCAGCAAAAACTTGGTTCTAGAGTGCCAGCGGCACCACGGGAAGCAGTAGGGAACACGCGTTCGGCTAGGTAAGGTACCTAGGCGTTGACCCTCACCTCCCTTTCCCCTGATGCCGTTCATCGATATTGGATGGAAAGGAATAAACTTGGCTTTTCTCTCGCTTGGAGGGAAAGAAAGATTGAATTTTTGGCGAGTGAGGCAGTGCTGTCGGGTTATTCATTCGTTGCGTCTGGCCCGGGCCCTTTCTTCCCAGTTCCAAAATTTAATCTTAAATGCTTCTTTTTTCGTTTCCTTATTTGGCGAGTCTGGCTGGAGATTTGGGCCGGATTTGTTTACCTTCTCCCGGGATGCGGTGCCGAGCACTTGTTTTTTCCCGTTTATGCACGGGTGACTTGGAGATGAACAGATGCAAAGTGCATGCCGTGTACGGATATCTCCCCCGCCTCACATGCTGCTGATATGATTATTTCCCGACCTAAGTGTTGGGGAAGATGGGGGGGGGGGGGGGAGAGAATGACGATGCATTGAGTTTCTGCCAAGGCCGCGCCCGTTGATCGGTCCCGTTCCCGGGATGGCTTCCCGCGCCCGGCTGCGAAAGCACACGCAAAAGGCCGGGTCGGGTTAGAGGTGTTTTTTTCGGTGATGGCAACGTGCTTTCAGGTGTTCGAGTAGGTAACTAGTCTTCCAGCAGCTGCGGCGCCGTTTCAACGGCTTCGAGAACGCCTCAAGCCCCAAACCGTTTTGTGTTTTGGCTGAGGCTTTCTTTGGCACTGATGATTCTCTGTTGGTTTTGAGGGTCTGCTCAGCCACTGATCATTAGACTTAGAATCCCAGTTCTAAGGTTTGGGTGTGTTCATCGCAACTTGTTGGTTCGGACGAAGGCTTTGACGATCGCCCCGTAGTTGCATGTATGAGGTGTGCTTTCTAGTGTATGCATCTACCGGGGCCCGTCCCTCAGTATCTGAGTGTCGAATGTTTTTCTGCCATGTCAACTTCAGCTCCCGCCGTCAAACTGAACCTTGTGATGACCTCGTGTCAAATCCAACCAAGACTCGTATGCCCTCGCCACCCGCTGAATTGATCGCGCTTGACTTCGTAGGCTCCACCGCCCGGAGGGCGCCCAGCTTGTGCCGACTCAGTCAGTCGGTGGATCTCTCACAAGTGCGTGGATCCCATCCGCGAAGCCTCCCCCCTCCGTAGCCGAAGCCCTAAGCCTCTCCCACACCATACAACGCCGGCATATGAACATCTTCCCCGGTCGATTCCGGCATCCACATCCGATCTCGGGAGTCACTCCCAAGATCACCAACGGAAGGGTGGCCGAGTTGGTTATGGCGCCAGGTTAAGGTCAGCTTAACATCTGTTTCCTGGTGGGGCAACCCGCGCGAGTTCGAGTCTCGTCCCTTTCACTTTTTGGCTTGCATCTTCTCAGTGAGTCTCTCAACGGGCGACTTAGTGTTTCATGTTAGCTGCGGATCGAAGAGAGTGTCCTGTTTTTGAAGACCGTACGTATGAACCAGGGACACGACTACACTTGGCTTTACTTTTGGGGCGTAAGTGCGTTGCCCTTGATCCTTCTAGTAGTCATATTTCAAAGTATGGATTTTCTTCACTCCCTGTGCTCTACCGCTCTCATCTCATTGATGATGGAGGCCTTCTCCTCTGGCCCATCATCTTTGATCTCTTCCCCAAACACCTCTTGCATGCGTTCCAAGCTGTACCCCTTCGTCCCCGGATACAAAATGTAGAACACCGCTATTTCGACCAGTAGCCATCCGACGTAGAAGAGGTAGTACTTCCAACTCAGTGACTCTATCCCAATCGGGTTCACAAACTGGTTCAGCAACGATGCCGCCTTGTTGGCGAGCACCAGAATGCTCAAACCCATAGCCCTCAACCTGAACGGCAGGATCTCCGTCGGGTAGAGGACGAGAAGCGGGTTCAGACACAGGTTGAATGCCGCATAGTATACGAAGATCAACGCCAACGCAGCTTGGCTCGAAGCCGTTGTCCCTTTGGTGTTGTAGACGGCGATGCTAGCGGTGAGCGACGAAAAGGTCAGCCACATGGCAACTCCGCCGCCGACGAACATCCACCGCCGCCATGAGGGCGGTTGCGTGGTTCGCCGTGCTGATGACCCCGTTGAGCAAAGTCTGCTCCCGCTGACTTGTGATGCCGATGCTGCTGAAGATGCGAGTTAAGTAGTAACTGACTAGTCTGTTCCCCGACCATTGACCAGCAACAGCAAGCGTCACGAGAATGAGCAGCCGCTTACGGTTGGCTGGTGTTTTGAGGAACAGCTTGGGGCCCGCGTCTTGCACTTGCTTCTCCAGCTGCAGTGCGACTTTCATCTCGTGGAATTGCGCGAGAACGAGGGGGTCGTTTGGGTCGCCGCCGCCATGGTGCTTGACGAGGATGTTGAAGACTTCTTCTTCGCGGTCTTTGTAGCACAGCCAACGAGTGGACTCATCCAGAAACCAGACAAAGATCATCTGTATACAGGCCGGAATAGCTTGAAGCATAGTCGGCAGACGCCTTGCCCTTTTCCTCAAGTTAGCAGCCGCTGACAACTCCCATCTTGATTACGCACCAAGAGCCTGGGATGCGATAGCTGCCAAAGGTAACCCATCAAGCAGTCAGGGCGCCAAGATAGAAGCTGGTGTTGTACAGCGAACCGAAGAGGACGCGGTGTCGGGGATGTGCGAGCTCTGATATCAGCACCGGGGCGGCGGCGAGGGCCATGGTGATGCCGAACCCGACGACGATACGTCCCCCGATGAAGAGTCCGATGGAGTGGCTGAGGCACTGTATCAGCACACCGATGGTCATGATACTACTGCCGCTAAGGATAGACCATTTCCGCCCGAAACGGTCGGAGATCATGGCTGAGAAGGGAGTTGAGAGAATTGCGCCGGGAGGGTAAGCTGCGCTGGTGATCCCCAAGAGAGCTCCTTTGGGACTCCCGAACTCATGATTCCAGGCGGCTACGCCCTGGAGGCCGGTCAAGACTGAGCCGTCGTAGCCGTTAGTCGCGCAGACAACGAGGCAAGCTGGCGCAAGGATGGCATAGAGACGGACGAGGGAAGGCGTGAGGGAAGAGAGCGTAGGCCGAGAATCTGACGCGAGGATCTCTGCCACGGTTCGGAATGTGGTAGGATTAGAGTTGGAATCCATCGTCTGACCAAATATGGGCAAGGGACGGGAAACGCGAGGAGATGAGATCTAAGGAACATGAACTCTAAGCTATGCGGTTCAACATGTTGGGCCTATTTGTATGCGCCCCTCTGAATGATGTTGTGGAAGACATAGAGCACGCCTCCAGATGCCTGGTTCTGGAATCTCACCAAGCCGTACTTCAAGACTTACGACATGGCGTTAGACCCGGCTACATGGTGCGATTCTAGCCATGTTCTCCTCCCCAAACCCCGGATGACATCTGCGGGGGAGGGCTTCCCCAGGTCTTGGCAACAACCTGGGCGAGCGCGGCATAGCCCAATGTGGTAATCGCAGAGGACGAGCGGGGAGAAACGGACTGCCTCCGACGGCGGTGATCGTATTGTGGGGGCTTCATACAAGTTCCGCCACTGCAAATGCAGTCTTGCTCATGATCCAATCGGCTAGTTGAATCTATTCAAGTGCGGTCCGGATTTGTTGCTGCCAGGTTGAGTAAACCAGGCGGGGAGATGCGGACCGGCGCCGATGGCCACACTGAAGTTGAACGATGGGTCACGAACACATGTTGCGGGTATGCCTGAAGTCTCGGTTTGTCGTCTTGCCTCCGGTTTCAAGATCATTCAAAAGAAGCAGTATGCACGACATTCCTTCGAGAGTATTTCACAACTCTTCCGTGTTCTTCACGCGAATTTACTCGGCGCTTGATTTGGCTCATTCTCAACATGCTCGACACCGAGAGACATGGTCGGGATCATGATCCCTCAAAGGTCCCTGTGATTGCCTCTCAAGATGCAAAAGCTTTTGCGGACGAGAAGCTCAAACAGATGACTTTGGAAGAGAAGATTTTGCTTTTGACTGGAGAAGACCTCTGGCGCACGAATCCCATCCCTAGGCTGGGCATCTCCAGAATCAAGACTTCCGATGGACCGACTGGCGTGCGCGGGGGAATCTTCGTCGATGGAGTGACTGCAGCTTTATTACCATCCGGGTTAGTGTTCTGAACGTGAAATGTTGTCTCATTATTGTCATTTACGTCAGACTGACAAGTCAAACAGCGTGTCACTTGCCGCTACCTGGGACAAGCAAGTAATCGAGGACGCGTCGCAAGTTTTGATAGCAGAAGCCAAGAGCAAGGGAGTTGATGTTCTGCTAGGACCGACTGGTGAGTGCGGTTCTGTTATCTGCCGCTAGGGTCGGTCGAACATAGCACTGACACTCGACACATCCAGTTTGCATCCCAAGGACCCCTCTGGGCGGACGCAACTTTGAAGCTTACAGTGAGGACCCTTTCTTGACGGGCAAGCTTGCCGCTCAGTACATCAACGCGATCCAAGCTGCCGGTATTGGGGCCTGCGCTAAGCACTACGCTGCTAACGACCAGGAGAATCGCCGCTTCTTCATCGACGAGAAGATTCCCGAGCGCGCCCTGCGCGAGATTCACCTCCAGCCTTTCCATATCGCGGTCCGCGACAGTAATCCGTGGTCGATCATGACGGCGTATAATAAGATCAACGGAGACTTTTGCTCTGCGAACCACTATCTCATCAGAGATATCCTCCGTGGCGAGTGGGGTTGGGACGGACTCGTTATGAGTGACTGGTTTGGGACCAATAGCGTTGTTCCCTCTCTTACAGCTGGGTACGTCATCTGGGAAATCTCAAGGATGTTCACGAAGCTTACGGACCATTGCAGTCTGGATTTTGAAATGCCGGGGCCTGTGAGGAGGCGGGGCAAGCACCTTCTTGAAGCTCACCGGCAAGGCCTGGTCGACAGCTCCTTCATCGATGCTTCCGCAACTAGGGTTCTCGAGCTTGTCCACAAGACTGGGAAGAGCAAAATTCCCGACTGGAAAGAAGGACCTGAGCAGGCCGTCGATCTCCCCGAGCATCGGGCAATCTTGCGCCGCGCCGGCGCCGAAGGTGAGTCTACTCCAGAAACCATCGGTCATCCAGAAAGGATTGCGTTAACAGCTCTACAGGCATTATCCTGTTGAAGAACGAGGGTGATATTCTTCCGTTGAAGGATCTTGACGGAAAGACCATAGCGTTCATCGGCCCCAACGCAAACAGGTCCGTTGCGACTGGAGGGGGGAGCTCGAATCTCTCACCTCACTACCGTACTACACCGTTCGGCTCTTTTAGCAAGGAGGTCTGTAGCATTTATCCGACTGCGCAAGTCGTGACAAAGCCAGGTATACTCAAGCACCGTTATCTCCCTCTTATCGAGCCGTCGGTGATGAGGAACCCGAAGACCGGCTCGCCTGGATTCGTATTGTCGCTTTGGAGAAACATGAAGCACGAGGGCACGCCTTTCATGACTGAGCACCGACCGAGTTCGAACCTCGTTTGTTACGACGGGCTGCCACCAGAATTAACGACTGGGAAAAGGTACTCCTACCGCGCCGAGGCGATTCTGACGCCGAAAACCACTGGAATACATCAGGTTTCTCTTTCCCGTTCCGGACCCGGGAAGCTCATACTCGACGGAAAGGTGATTGTCAACATTGAACGCCGATGGTGGTCACCCAAGTCTTCTCTTTTCTTGAGCTACGGCTGACCTGAAGAACGTGTTGAAGTGGAGCTGAAGGCCGGACAATCGTACGAGCTTGTCCTGGAGTCCATCAGTCGCGAGCCTAAGCCGTACGACATGACTTACACGGGCATGCTTGAACGTGAGGAGGTCCAAGACGGTGGTCGAGTTGGATTCCTGGAGAACCCTGGCGATCTCGATGCCATGCTACAAGATGCCGTTGACCTCGCCAGCCGCAGCGACATAGTAGTCGTAGTTGTTGGGAAAGATCACGAATGGGAGACGGAAACAAGCGACATGGTATCCATGGATCTACCAGGGCAATCCAACGAGTTGGTGCGGGCTGTGGTGAGAGCGAATCCCAGGACCATCGTCATCAATCAGACAGGTAGCCCAATCACAATGCCCTGGGCCAATGAGACGCCAGCCATTGTTCAGGCATGGTACCAAGGACAGGAGCAGGGCAACTGTATTGCCGACATTCTTCTCGGGACCACCGATCCTTGTGGGAAGTTACCGATTACATTCCCCCGCCGCATTGAGGACACACCCTCGTTTGACAACTACCCCGGAGAAAATGATGTTGTTCACTATGGTGAGAACATCTATCTCGGTTACCGATTCTACAACCACCGCAAGATTGAGCCGTTGTTCCCCTGCGGATATGGTCTCTCGCACACGACATTTACATACTCTAACATTAGGCTGAGCAGCGATTCTCTCGCTGTGGACGACAAGATTGAGGCCCAGGTTGACGTGACCAACACCGGGAATGTTGAAGGCAAGGAAGTGGTACAGTTTTACGTCAGCTCAGTTTCCAAGCCGAGACTCGGCCGACCTCTGAGGGAGCTCAAGGGGTGGGATAAGGTTTTTGTGCGTCCTGGAGAGACAGCCACTGCCCGGGCTACACTGGATCGGTTGAGTATCTCCTACTGGGACGATAGCGTCCAGAAATGGGTATTGAAGGAAATGCCGTGTTTGTGGTTTCTGCGGCGAAGGACTCAGGGGATGAAGGGCTGGCTGCGGGGTTTCGATCGAAGGCCGCAGCCCAGTGGGTTCATTAAGCTGGAAGAAAATATGATATTGAAGTAGAATTCTGGGCGCATCAAGAATGACCATACAACACACACGTACACATAGTTATCCTTCTACGAGACTCTGAATAATCTCGTAATCCCTGGTGATTGTCGGTGACAAAGGAGACGCCGCGTCCACAATGACTGCCTGGACTCGTCAATTACTTCCCAGCCATCTGGCAGCAAGGCCGCTGCTAATCCCGAAACCTGCGTTCTCTGAATTGTTTGTATCTGAATCCTTATTGCAAATAGCCTTTTCAGGTTTGTCAGGTCTCCAGAACGTTGATATCGAGGCGCTAACTTATGTTCTCCAGGAGTTAATGGGAAACAGGAGAACCTGGGAAGGCTCGTGCATTATCCCGCCGTGAAGAATTCCTATCAGCGCCGAAGCAATAGCAGTTTTAGCACATTCTACTTCGTAATCCGAGGCATCTATTCTAGAGCTGTGTATCACCTTGTGAACATGAGGTCGATAGAGTATGGTTTTGGCGGCATGATAACGGGCCTTCAAGTGACCCTTAAGCCTCTCTTGCATGCTGGGCTTGTCGGTTCGAAAAGCAATTCGGACTTCATTCGATAGTGTGAGATCCGAGAACTTAAATGCAGAGGGTAGACATTGTTTCCACTCCTCAATCTGCCGGTTGAGTTCACAGACCACGGAGGGAGTTGGAGTCACAAGCCGCTCTGCATTATCAGTCAAAATCAGTATTGATCTACATCGCGGAGTTTTCTCAAGTCACCTTGATTGTACAAATGGGAGTGAATCCTATTAAGAAGTCTTCTCATTGAAACGAGGGCAAGGAAGAAGAATTGGTACTGCTTTTGCTGGCAGTCGATCCCAGGATCCGGGAGAAGCGGCAACGGGACGGAGCTTTCCAGCCCGCTAAGACCGCTAGAAGGGAATTCAAACTCGACGAGTATTTGACTGAAATGTTGTCAGCGTTTATGATAAAAACAAGCGCAGCAGCAGCACTCACCTTTCTTGTAGGTATACAATCCAGTAGAGTTGGCAATGGTGAGCTCGCAGCTGTTCCTCCCTGCCAAACCTTTGTTTAGACAATGCTCATGAACTTTTGAAATGAGTTGACATACAAAGGCAGCAAGATTATTACAGTTGAACAGGCTTTGTTGATGAAACGCCAATGGTCGTAAACTCTGAGTTTGGATGAGTTACAAAGACTCTTTGCGTTAGTTCCAGGATTTAGAAGGCGATGAGTGATGCTTACGCAATGAGCAGGAGACACTGCACGCTTTCCCAGCTAAAATCTTCAACATCACGAAAGATGTTGCAGGCTAGATTGAAGAAGCTGACACCGGCCTCAAACTCAAGCATGTCAGTGGCAGAGCCCATTCTCTGCCATCAATCTGGCACGCGACAACAGAACCAAGGGAAAGTACTAGGAGTACAACGCAGCTGCTTAAACTGTCATCAAAACCAACTATCAGGGTCCGACTAAGATGATGATAGTAGAAATTGTCCTCATCAAGAATGAGACGTTGGGGATGAAAGTGAGTGAAATAGAGGTTGGCTAGGTCACGGAGTTGAGACAATGATATGGTAGATAGCCAGCTGCTGCTCACTTCGCTCATGCTCTGCGACAGACAAACTGGTGCAGCAGTGGTCTTTCTTAGTCTGGCTTGCTTGCTTTCAAGGTCGACTGGGCATCACAGCTCACGGTCGTTTAGAGTCAAGGGAGAGCACGACCATGTTAGTAAATGCTGTGGCGCTGTGCAGTGACGCTGTGGTATCGCCAGTTCCTGACGAATCTGAACCGACCCGAGCCTTGAGGGCGTAAAGGCGCTGATGGGGCTGACTGGATCTGGGGTATTCGGAGGTTGTGTCGTAGAACTTGGATGGCTGCGATTGCTGAGTGGTCCAACTCCTTGGTTCGCCGTTGTCTTTGCCACAAGGTTATCAATCTTGTCTTCCATTCGTTGAAGGGCGCCAGCCAATTCGAAGACTGAAAGACCTTTCCTGACAGACGGAGAGTTCATGAGAAAACTTTGACTAGAACGATCAACACTGCTGGATCTCACTTGGATGCGACGCTCTCCACATATACGCACGCCAGTCCCAGTCTCTTGCACCGATCACAAGAAGGCTTCGCTTCGTTACATCTTGTCTTTCTCTCGCGGCAGGATGCACATGTCTTCAGAGCGTCAGGCGCGGTACCATATGCATCTGGAATGCAGGGGGGCGTTTACATTCAATGCAAGGCGTCTAACAGTAACAGGTTTACTGGGTGACTGTTGTGTAGCCTGGGAGGTGTTCATCATTGTGATAACGCTGAGATAGAGGATGCGGAGAAAACAATGCGATAAAGAACCCAGCACCCAGTTGGAAGCTCTGACTTTAATACCAATTGGCTAGTTTGCCAAGCTGTGGAGAGCGACCCGATATCGCCGGACGGCGCGAAGGAACTTTTGCAGGGAAAATGTGTCCCAATTCGGAAAAGGAGGATTGTGCAAGCCCACAGGGAAAATAAGCTATATAACGTCCCACACCCACTTCTGGGCACCCCCCACATTTGGGCACCCCATTTTTGATGCCCTCACCTTTATACACATCAACTTCAACCAATATTTATATGTATTATGATGCGACGACGATGCAACTTTCGCTATCACTAGGGTTTTCTGACTCGCTGGATTCATCTGTGCTACTTTCAAGTTCGCCCGCCTCGATTTGAGCCCTCCGAATAGCCTCAATATCGGCAAACTTCGAATTTGGGCTCATTTTGACCTTCTTCTGTTTCCTGGCCCTACTGGCATCAACCTCTGCCTGCAGTGCCTCAATCTTTCGCTGGGCTACTGCTAATTGGTATGCCTTCTCATCAAAGCCCTTCTGAACCTTCCGGAAAAGCAGGCGCTGCGTATGCTTATTGTTATCTAGCTTGCTGAACAGGCTGAACTGATCCTGAAGCTCATCCCTCTTCTTGGGGGTTGACCAAAGGACTGCTGATGTATCTGCCGCCTATTTTTCGCTTGCTTTGCCATCAGAGAGCCCTTTGCAGACCTGACCAGCTGGTTTGGCAGGGGTTGATGTGTTCTCAAGCAGCAGAGGGCTCATGAGGGGTCTAGCCATACTGACAGGCCACAAACCAGTCCATTTCCAGCCACTGATGATGTTCTTGCTTGTCAGGGCTGCTTTACGCGCCTTGCCATAGTATATAACGAAGCTTCTCTTGCCCATAACTGTACCAGCATCCTATTCAGCCAGTAATCCAAGCTCCTTCTTGTATGCTGCCTTGAGGGGCCTAAAAACCGACTGATCAAGTGGCTGAAGGACGTGTGACGTGTGTGCTGGCAAGAACAGCAAGTGTATCTTGTTCCTGAAGCATGTATACATAAAAGCAGTAGTCTTATGGCTTCTATGACCATCCAAAATCAATAATCTGACCTCTGAGGGGTCTCCTGGCTGGGTTGAAGGAATAAAGACCTCTGTTAACCACTTGACAGCTGTAGAGTCTGAAGTCCACCTATTTTCTGTAGCTGTGAACTTCTAGGATTTATATAGCGTCAGATCTAGAGGGAACCACTGCTGCTAGACACTCTTGCCCTTGTATATAACAAGTGGAGGCAGTACCTTGCCAGTTGTAGAGATACACTCGATCAGAGATGTCCAAGCATGCGATCCAGGCTGTTTCTTGCGGATAGAACGAGTTTCTGATGATCTAAGGATAAGCCTATTTGATCCTCTGCCTTCTAGAATACCAGTCTCATCCATATTATATCGATTGGAGGCCTTGATGGCCATGATCTCAGGTATGGCGAGGTGCTTGAACTATTGCCTGATTACATTAGTTGAAGCTCTATTGATACGCTGGGAATCGATTGCTCTGCTTCTTTGGACCCTTACAGATGGGTTTCTCTTAATAAAAGACTGCACCCAGTTCTTTCCAAGAGGCTGGGAGTCTCTATGGATCTGTAGGATGCGTTCAGCAAAATCCTTGAGTTGCTGATGGGTTGGAGGAAGGCCTAGGGCAGCCTGGATTCGAACCCATTCAGCCAGATGACTTTCCTGGGTTGGAGAAAGCCTTTGCAGATCAGAAAACGCTATATCTCGCGTCTGCACACCTCTGATCCGATTCTGTAGAGTTGAACGCGGCACACCATGCTCAAATGCAGCTTTTTTGACAGATGTACCGTTTGCGATAGCAGCAAGCGCCCGTAGGACGTCATCTTCGGAATATGAGGGCATCTGATGCTTATAAAGCTATATACCAAAAATGAAGTCAATTGGGTAAAGATTGATAAAGTTGTGTAGGTTTGAAGGTGGCGGGTATTCATGGCGGTGAGGCATTTTTGGGGTGCCCAAATGTTGGGGGTGCCCAGAAGTGGGTGTGGGACGTTATATATCCTTTCGCCCACAGGCGTGCCCCCGACGAAGTTCCCTGGTCACAAACACCACTCTCCTCCATAAGATTCGAGCGAAGTTTTGTCGCAAACACCATCAACAATCACTACCGACCGTATCGTTACGGTCGCCACATCATCCTCGCTGTAAGCACATTTGCCAGCCTAACCTTATTTGACAAGCCAGTTCACGTTGTGAACCATGGCGGGTAACACTCTATCAGGTCAGTCTCGGTCCGAGAAGCACAAATCCATCGTTCCATCCGACCCTGAGAACATCTCTGGAACGCAACATGGAGTTTTCTCGCCCGCACAAGAAGAGGTGTATCCGGAGGGAGGCACGCAGGCATGGCTCGCAGTTACCGGCTCCTTCTTGGTTTACTTCGCATCCTTTGGCGTCGTGAACAGCTTCGGTTTCTTCCAGACTTTTTACCAGCAAGAATATCTGAAGAATTACTCGCCGACCGCCATCTCCTTCATTGGCACGCTGCAAATCACGCTGATGTACCTCTCGGGCTCGGTCGCTGGAGCACTGTTTGATCTTTACGGTCCCAAAGTAAGTTACTTCATTGGAACTCGGGATGGGTGCCATGAAGATGCTAAACTTTTCTCAGTGGCTCTACCTGTTCGCCGCGATCGGGGGCGCTGGCTCTATGCTTGCAACGTCTTTCACTCAGCCCAACGCGATTTGGCAGCAGTTCTTGGCTCAATCTCTCCTTTTTGGCCTCACTGTTGCCTACGGAGTTCAGGTGGGTCGCATCTTATTCATTCGCCAGGACTGTTGGTTGAGGAGCTTCATTCGCAGCAATGCAAGCTCTAAAATGTACTAACCTGGAATACTTAGCCGGCTCTCACCGTAGCAGGGCAATATTTCCACCGAAAGCGTGCCATGGCCATGGGCATTGTGGCATCTGGCAGCAGTCTGGGCGGGGTTTGCCTCCCGATCATGTTTTCGAGACTCATCCCCCAGATTGGCTTTGCATGGGCACTCCGTGTTGGCGCCGTGATTCTGCTGACCTGTTACGGCTTGGCCATAGTTGTGTCCTCTTCAAAGCAGACGAAGAGGAAGCTGAAATCTCTCGGAAGCTTGCTTGATTACAGGGGCTTCTTAGATATACGCTACTCATGTCTCTCGGCTGGAGCAGTCATCGCAAGCCTGGGCGTGTATGTCCCGTTTTACTACATAGGTGAGTCTCAGAGTTTGTGTTTATGCCCCAGGTCTTCGCGTAGGATCTGTATCTAACGGTTTGCAGAGCCATTTTGTGTCGCCCTCGATCCGAACTCAAAGGTTCGGTCGTACCTACTGCCCCTCATCAACGCATCGAGTCTTTTCGGACGTATTATGTGTGTACCCTCTCCCTGGGCTATGCATACCCGCTTGAACTATGGACGCCTTCTGACTCTAGCAGCGGTGGATATGCAGCGGACCGCATTGGCCGGCTAAACTTTCTGTATCCGATGATTATTCTTTGCGGACTGTTGTGTGTGGTCATGTGGCTTCCTGCAACGACGACTGGGATACTCGTTGCATTCGCTTGTCTCTACGGCTTTGCGTCTGGGGTCTTTATATCAGTCATGCCTGCTGCCACCGGGCAAATCATTCCCACCGAAAAGCTCGGAGCCAGGCTTGGAACATTTGGTACCGTTACCGCCATGGCTGTCCTGACGGGCAGTCCGATAGCTGGGGCCTTGATTCAGAGCGACACCAGGACTGGGTATCATCCTCTTATCATTTTTGCTGTAAGTCATATTTACCTCCTTTGTTCAATTGGCTCAGCTTTGCAGGTTTGCTGATGAGATATCTATTTTCAGGGGTGCTGTCTTCTCGGGGGAGGCGCCATAATCTTTGCTGCCCGAGTTCTACACGACAGAAGCCTCAAGAGCAAATGGTAGCCAACTCGGAACTCAGTAAAGCATGCGATTATCGCTCTATAAAAGACACCGAGCGGCGTCAACTTGATTTGAGTCGGAGTACGA